TTCCTTATCATCCGTGTCATTGACATGATTCCCATCACCATTATTATTATCATCATCATCACTTCCGCTCGAGAATATGGATATGCCACTAATACAGTGATCAGAAAACAATCCACTGGCAGTCGATCATATATATTTATTTAAAAAAAACATTTCATAAAGTTTAGCTTTAATTTAATCAATTTCAATTCAACAAAAGTGCACTTTAATTATTCTTGAAAAATTTTCACGAAATATTCAAATAAATTTCTTTTTCTTTGATTTTTATACACAAATATTAATTGTCTATTAGTAATTAATTATTCATACAACTGATTATGTATTTTATATATATATAAGTTCTAAATTATGAAATAATTTTTGTTTATTTATCAAAATTTTTTCTATTTTCGTTTTCTCTTTTTGTTTTATTATAATTAATATTAACCAATTTCATCGCTGAGGAAAATACGTTTTGCAAAGAATTCTTCGGTATTTCTTGCCGAATATTCTCTTTTTCTCTTTCTTTTCAATTATATTTTTTCATCTTTTTCACTTTCGATTTTTTATCTTTTATTTCATTTAATCTTTCCTATATTTTATTATCTTTTTTTCATCGGTCTATGCAATATTTTTGCTAATTCTTTCATCAATTCCTTGCTGAATTTAGTGATATTTTTCGTTTCACCCATTTCCGTCAACAGCTTTCCTATCACTTTTTCTCCATCATTTCCATCCTTTCTGCATCTTCTCCTACCGTAACTCTAGTAGTTCTGCTTTATTTTGGGCATTCACTCTCTTAGACTTACTTTCTTCTCTTTCAGTATCATCCATCATCAATTTGATGATTCCTTCTGAATCCAACAATCTGAATCCATTTCAATACCAATCCTTTTTTATTAATATTTTTCTGCAACATTTGTTGTCAAATAACAAATTTATTGACATTTCAGCTAAATTCATTGAGTTAGTTTCTAATTTTTTGAAATATTAACTGATTAATTTATTTATTTATTCATAATAAACGAATGAATTAAAGAGTTCGAATATTTTTAACTTTCAGATAATAATCTTAAAAACAAAGAAATACTTCGAATTACTTATTTCGACTACGAATAAATGAACAAACGAATGAATTGAATCTATTTATTGATTTTCAGATGGTCTAATTTTGACCGTATTTATCGTAGATAATAATTTCATTCTGACTATATCTATCATAGATTAATCCGGAATAATCACAGTGAATGTTAGATTGACATGAAACGATGGAAGAGTTTTTGTACCGTTCCTCAATCTTTCACAACATTTATGCAATGGGAAAAGTCAAAAAATGATTTACCAAATATTTTCTGTCACTTTGACATATTATTGTAATTCTGCATAATTGTAAATTTATTCTTCAATTAAAAATTTCTTATTTCTCAAATTACTTATCTCAAAAATATCCTCGCATTTATTATCATGTAATAGCAATAGCCTTCTGTAGAAATAATTCGCATATTTTAATGGCTTTTATTTCCATTTTACGATGCAATATTGAAAGTCGCAAAATACTTTATAAAATATTTCTGATTATTTTAAAACTTAATTCCCATTTTATATAACTATTAAAAGCTGAATTCATCCGATGCTTTACTATAGCGTTAATCGTATATTCCTTTAAGCACCAATTTCAGTATCATCAGTTCTGAAATTTACAATTTTTCTGATAAATTGGAATTAAATATCATTATAATTTATGCTGAATTCAATTAATAAAATGCAATAAACAAGATAATTTATTAAAGCAGTCTATAATTCGATCTAAATAATTTCGCCTTGAAATTAATTCAAAAAATAATGTTAAAGTATATACTTATTCTTTGCTTAAAAATAATTCTTAATGCTAAAAGGGAAAAATTGGAATGGTATTAATTTATCCATTGGAATATTTATCATATCAGAAAATGCAATTAATCTTAGTTAACTGAAATTTATTCCTTTACCTTTTCCAATTCCAATATCTGTCATAGCAATAGAAGCAAATTAATTGTTTATTTATAAAACCACCTGCTCATTTTACTGGTATTTTATTAGAAAAAAGGGAAAATCTTTTTATTGCTTTTTGAAAATTCAATTATATTTTTTTCATTTAACCATTTTATTTACTATTCAATTTTATTACATCGAACTTTTGCTAATAAAAAGAAATTTTGAAATAAAAATGTAAGAAGAAAATGGTGAAGGAAAAAATTGGTTAGCAACCAGTTATTGCTATGAAATAAATATTTAGTACGAAATAAGAAGGATAAGGTAATTGAAAGTAAGTTAAAGTTATTTGATGGATTATAAAGTTAGCTTTTTTTTACTTGAAAAGTGCAATATATAAATAAGCTGTAAAATTGAATTGAAAGAAAAAGATTTAATTAGATTTCATGAAAAATTCACCTTTATATTTATTTATATTTATGTAGCAGAAATTTCTCACCTTTTTTCAGATATGTAAAATATCTTTTTGTGAAATCTTATTGGTCCAATATTAATTATTATTATTATTACTGTCTCTAACTGATTAAGTAAATTATTCATACGAATATTGTCATATAACAAATATAAATTAAGAAAAAATAAAGAAATAGAAATAATTTTAAAATTTTTCGATTGATTGATAATTAAATAATTATAAATCACCTGTTTTATCTCATAAGATATGTTCTTTTTTATTGCTATTACTGTTTAAATTTGACCTTTTAAGATGAAAATTTTAATTTAATGAAAAAAGAAAAAGGAAATTTCACATTTAGTGAAATGGGTAATCGTGAATCATCGACAAAGGAAGAGGATGGGAAGACGAAAACAAACGATCAGCCACGTTTGTATCAATATGTTGATATTCATGGCGGCGGTGATTTGATACCTTTGATGTGGCAAGCTAAAAATAGTAATGATTTTTCAGAAATTAATGAATTAATCTATTCGAAGGTTCGATTTAATTTTGATTATTATTAATGATAAGATTTAAGCAGTATTCATTTTTAAAATATAAAATTTCGTGAAAGCATAAAATAACCAAAAATGCATAAAAATTAGAAATGCATCAAATTATGGCTAATAAAGTTTACTATAATCATTTTAGCTAACTTAAATTGTGAAATTATTTTTGAAGGAAAAAAGTAGAGAGGGAAAACGAAATTAATTAATTAACAATGCTGGTAAAATATGTATGAATAAAATATTTCATTAACTATTAAAATTCTTTCAAAAATTTTCTTTTTAATTGAAGAAATAACAATTTTTGAAATATCTTATTTAGTAAACTATTTGAAATTGATTTCAGAAGAAGCTAAGATTATCTTAAACAAATAATTCATAAGGAAATTAATTAATGTTTGTTTAATTTAATTTTAGATTAAAAATTTTATGTATAATTCGGGTAAAGGAAAAATGGTGGCAGTTTCTGAATTGGTGAAAATCCGCAATAAGGAGCGCAATGCAATGTTAAGTGCATTGAAACGTAAGAAGGGAAAAGGCAAAAGTGGCCCAAATATTTTGGATGATTTCAATCAGGAAGGAGAAAATCAAGGCGATTTAAAAAAAGGTGTATCTCATGCCAAATAAATGAATAATGCAAATAGTAATAATATTGATAAATATTAATACAATATATAAAATTATAGAATGATTATAATATAGCAAATCATATGCAAAATGTAAAAAAACATGCTAAATATAAGTGAAACTGGAAGATTGTAAGCATAGGAAATAAGTGAAAATGGGAAGTAATATTTGAATTCTTACCACTTATTACATTAGCAGTTATCATCGTTATTTTGTAGCATTGAAACTTTTGGAAGGTGGCGGACGACGTGGTGACATGGATTCGAAGTATCGTGAAGTAGTATGGAAATTAGACGAACGTGGTAATATGGGTGAGAATCTCGTTGGTCTATGCTTATTGCAAGGAACTGCAATACATAATCATTTGGCTCGTCATTTAATCAAATTGTATCCAAAACTTGTCAACGATATTTTCATCAGTGTAAATTACTATGGTATGATTAAATGAAATAATTACTGCATGATGAAATCATTATCTACTAATTTTGATATATTTACTTTATCATTAATCAAATGAATATGTTGTACTTTACTTTTTATCATTATTATACAGTAACAATTCCTTGCTGCAAAAACCTTAAAAAATTAGTAGCCATTTAGTTAGAAAATAGAAATGTGTTGAAAATAGAGAAAGCTTTAAAAAAACATGATGAAAAAGAATCAGATGATAAATTTTCAAAAAATATTTGTATAACAATAAAGCTTACAGGATTATCACCGTTACATCAAGCCATAATGAACGAGGATCCGTCAATGGTTAGTTTTCTACTACAACAAGGCGCAAATATCAATCAACGTTGTTATGGTGCATCATTTTATCCCGATGATCAAAAAAGCAGTCAGACTGATTCGTTGGAGCATGAATATGTGGAACTTGGTCTGAAAACATGCTATTCTGGGTTAGCCAATATTATTTCACGAAGTATTTTTCTCTAAAGATATGTTTCATTATCATCATTTCATAATCATTTATGATTAATAATTCCAAACATGAACATAAATCGTTTGTGGAAAAAATAGTTTACAAAATTGAAATGCCAGACATAATTTATGAGATATTTAAATTAGTTAAATTATTTCAAAAACCAAAAGTAATAAAATTGCAAAAGCGCACGAAATAAAACAAAAGAAATTCGAATTTTTTGCTATTTTATAAATTAAAATGAAATTCTCAAAAAAATGCAAATTATAGAAATTTTACTGTGTTTTAGAAAATTTTAAGAATTATTTTTGGATAATATTTTCGAGCATTTTAATTAAAATTTCACATTTTTCCAACATTCAGCCAAAAAATGTTTGCGATAGTTTAAATTGTCGGAATATTTAATTGCTAAAAAATTTCTTTCCAATTTTTGCTGTTTAGACGAATGTATTTTGGCGAATATCCGTTATCATTTGCGGCTTGCATTAATCAAATGGATTGTTTTCGGTTATTGGTAGCAAAGAAAGCTGACTTAAATCAAAAGGATACGAATGGCAATACAGTCCTACACCTTGCTGTAATCCATGAACATCCAGTAAATGATTCAAATTGTTTTATGTGATTTAAATTTAATGAAATAATGCAAAATAATTGCAAATTCTTATGTGTTAAGTTTTCAAATAAATCTTTCTGCAAATTTTTTCATTTATTGCAAAGTTTTTTCCAAATTACTTTTATAATTATTTAATTTCAAATTTTGGGATTGAAATTTTAATTTCTAACTTTTTCTTTTGCATCAGGAAATGATTAAACTATCATACGATATGGGTGCTAAGTTACAAATAGTTAACAAACAGAATTTAACTCCGCTCACTTTAGCTGCTCATTTGGGAAAAAAAGAGGTACAAATATTACCTATCAGTTGAGATATTATTCATAAAAATTTTAATTTATAACATTTCTTCAATCTTCATTGTTTCACTCATTACAACACAAATTAATTGATTAACTTTCAATTAAATCATTTTTAAAATTAACAAAATTATTTTAAAATTTATTTCACATTTTTTTTTTTTACAAATTTCACATCTTTCTTCTTCCTTGTTTGATTAATTTTAGATGTTCGAATTAATCCTAAAATTAGAAGCCGATGTTGTTTGGATATACGGTAACGTGAGCAGTTTTGCATATCCATTAGCTCGTATTGATACGATAAGTCAAGAAACTGGAGAAATGAATGAAGATAGCGCGTTATCACTTATTGTTTATGGTGTAAACATCTTATATGATTAATAATAACACTTATTTGTATAGCTATTAGTAATATAGGAACCTTATAATACAGATATTGCATTTTTAAGTCATATATACCATGATACTGCCGATAAGATCCTTATCCTCCTGTACTTTCTGATAGATGTTCATAAATATTCATAATAATAACTGGAAGGAAACATTTTTTTTTCCGTGATAGATTTTGTTGTTAAATTAATAGATCCATTTTTTTGTTTGTTTATTATCAGTTATTTGTTTATCAATTAACCAATTTGATTGCATCTCATTATCAACTTCAACAAAAGCAAAAATTTTTTCAAAAAACAAACATTTCAGTTCATACAATATTCTATATTCCTTTCTTTCTCTCTTAGAATTTAATTTTGTGTGAATTTTAGGAAACAACGAAACATTTAGAACTTCTCGATGGATTGTTGGAAGAATTATTAGAAGCTAAATGGAAAGCATTTGGACGACGATAGTAGGAATAATTTTATAAAAGAAAGAAAAACGAGAAAATTCATACTAATACGATTTTTCCTCTTCAACTATAAAATTGCATCCAATCAAATAATTAATCTTAACGTAGCAAAACTTCAAACTTTTCTCTTTCAAAAATTTAAAATTTAGGATAAATACTAATTTAACGAACACATCGTTTCATTAAAATTTTCTTTACAACTTGAAGTGGATATTTGAAATAATTAACAATTAGGTTAATGATTGATTAAAATGACCAAAAATCACTTTTATAGTTTGACATTATCATTTTCGTGTTTTGTGGTTTACTTCATATTTGTTTTCATGGCTTTTATGTGTCGACCATTTTCGATGACAACAAAGGTTAAATTTAAAATGCTTAATTAACATAATAAATATTTCTTGATAACATCTTTTATTTAAAATGTTAATATAAACTATTAATACGAACATAAAAACCTTTCGCTCATTTAATTCTTACTCTTATGTTCATTCAATTGTCTTACTTTTATCACTACCTTGCTAATATTATCAATATCAATAATCAAAGGTGATAACACATGGTGAAATTCACACTGCCAATACATCCATTCCATGCAACAGTACTTCACCTGATAATCCATGTTTTAATTCAACTTATACTATGTTCGATTATACCATTCTCAAAGCTAAAATGCTGCAACCATTTTCATCCCACGCTGCAAACGAGAAAATTTCTTGGACATTAAAAAATTTCGGTATGTTTTAACGCTTTTCATATGAAATTTATATTTTACATTTTTTTGATTATATGTTAAATTTATTTTCCTAAAATTTATCATTTCTTTAATATTTCATTCACTTAATTTTCTTGCTTTATGCAATTCAACTAATTATGCCATTAATTAGCAATCGATTGTACTATGAATGAAGAAATTTTGCTTTCTTCACTGTCTATTGTTATTAGAGGAAAAACAAAATTTAATTTGATTAATTTGAATAAATAAGAGATAAATTATTCTGATACTTAATTTATTGAAAAAATATTATTCTTTGATCTTATCATTCGAGAATCCAAAAATTTATCTTTCACTAATAGAGCGAATAGAAGCTGAAAATAAGCAGATTATATGATGTTTGGGTTATATTGCTGAATTAGTACATTATGGTCAATTATTTTAATTACTAATTATTCCAATAAGCTATATTAATGATTTTTTCAATAACTTTGGATAGTGAATTTTTTTTTCATAGAAGAAGCTTGGTATAATTCTGATCTCTGCCATATGTGGCGATATACTGGTGCAGGATGGCAGCAACATGTAAGTTTATAAAATGAGTTAGAAAAGATATGACAAATCTTTTCACTGATTAATGCAGAATTATCGATTCACATTGGTAGAGCTTCGAATTAGTCTTCCACTTAAACAACTTTTTAATGAATTTGCTGAAGCTGTTAGCGTCGGCAATTAAAAACGATATGCCTGAATTAGAATGTTGTGAATGTTACAGTATTATATTAATTACTTATTACATATTATATTATATTATATTATATTAATACATATTATTATATTACGTATTATTATATTATATTATATATTATATTAATTACATATTATATTAATTATATAAATAATGAAATATAATGCTAAAATAGATAAGAATACAGCATTAAAATACTGGAGTATAGTTTTAAAATAAATAAGATTTGATACGCTAATTATTTTTTATTCTGCATAAATAATTAATAATTAATATTTTACGAAGTCTAATTTCCAAAATTAATATGAAATGAAATAGGTTCGATTAGTTGCTGAACAAATGGTACTATTAATGGCATTACTTCAAATCGTTTTTGATGCGATGGATATAAAAAATGTTGGTCGAAAACGATGGTGGCGTGTTATGGTATTCCATTTCATTTAATTATATGAATTTCATTAAAAATCTTGAACTTTTTCTTTTCAAAAAATTTTTGAATAAAATAAATTACATTGCAGAAATCATTTCCGGCTAAAATTGCTTACAAAATTTCATTCATTTTTATTTTGCTAATTGTACCGATACGATTAGCATGTGTATTGTGCCCAACAATGCTTCTATTCGACAATATTCTATCATTAATGATCGTCCTATTAACTGGCGCACATTTTTTATTTTACACACGGTATTCCTTCGTATTATTTCTATTAAAATTTAAATCAATAATTTAGTCGAGTCTATTTTATCTGCAAAATTTTACATCGGTTAAAAATTATTTTCTTTTATAGGTGAAATTTTAGAGGATGCAATTTGAATTTATGTAACAATTATTATTTCACATTTAAGAGCTTTGAAATTTATTGGGCCATTTGTTTTAATGATTTATACAATACTTTCACGTGATATAAGCCGTTTTATGCTTATTTATTCGATATTTCTCATCGGATTCTCTCAATGTTTGTTAATTTCTAATTAAATTTTTCATTATTTAAAGATTATAAGCATTTCAAAAAAAAATTCTTTCATCAAATGATTTAACCTTTGTTTTAATCATTTTTTAAAGAAACTTTTAATTTAATGTAACAAATAGAAAATTTAATTGTTTTACTTTCATTTTCTTTGTTACTAAATTAATGGAATCGCTGGGATGTAAGCCTAAAGTATTGTAAGCCTAAAATGTCATAAACCTAAATGCTTATAGAAGCCGGGAATTTAAGTGCAACAAAATTTTGCCAGCCATTTATCGCTTAACTCTTTTCTGCCACTCTTTCCATTTGCTATTCATAAATATTTTATTATTTTAAACTATTTAGACCTTGTTGATCTTATTATCAATCTCTAATTAAATTAATGCTTTAATTTAAAAGCATTTCATTCTTAAAAATAGTCTTTTGTCTTAAACCTACAATCTTGTTAAGTAAATTATAGCTATATTGAAAAATTAATTAATCATACTAAGTAATGTGTTTATTTGTTGAAATTCTATTTTCAATAAACTATTTATTTCTAATTTCAAAACCTTTCAAAACTTCTCTTTTTTTTAAAGCATTTTATGTAATTTTTGGAGCTTGCGAACGAGCAAGCAAAGCGAAGTCTACTCGTTGGGAGAATATTTTACGTACTCCGTTTGAAGCTATCTTGCGATTATTCATTATGACAATTGGCGAATTTACCATTTTCTATCGATCGCTGAATACATGCGAGGAAAGAATGATGCAAATAATTGGTAAGGTAAGCATTTGTAAGTTTTAATTTCATGAAAATTCAATAAAAAAACAAAATTTGAAATACAAAAGTAATGTTTGATATTCACAATTAGTATTAACCTTTTGGTTTCAAAAAGAAGAAATAAGAAAATTGTAAAATATTTGGAATAAATTTGTGTCTCTCTGTGTGTCTGCGTGTGTGTCTCTATATGTGTGTCAATTAATTAATTTAATAACATTTTACATAGTTTTGAATAAATGGTAAATGAAAACAAATGATTAATTGCTACTAACGAAAATTTAAAATATTCGATCTCAGAAACGAAAAATTCCTTTTTTATATCATCAAAGTAACGACTATTCCTTTTAATTTGCATGATAATAATCGATATAATTTAAATTAAAATAATGTTTTTTTTTTTGATTGCAGTTTTTATTTATCATATTTGAATTATTTATTAGTATCATGCAGTTTAATTTATTAATTGCTATGATGACACGAACTTATGAAACTATTTCGAGAACATCTACCGAATGGAAAAGACAAGTTTGTTTTATCAAAAAATGTTTAGTTAAATGATCAATGTATAATAAAACTAATGGTCGCTGTCAGTAAAAACTAGTAAACAATTGATATAGCTATTTACGAGCTATTTTCTTTAATTTATACACACATTAATCACTAAGAAAAATAGTCGCTGTCAGTCGCTGTCATATTGCAATGCTGAAGTAGTCTCGTCTTAAAATTAAAAAAACCTTTTAAACAATAAGAAATCTTAATTTTTGTAGTAATGAAATGCTTATTAAAACTTTGCTTATTCATTTCTAATCTCTAATTATTATACTTAAAAAGAAAATTCAGAAATTTTAAGAAAAGAAAATGATAGACTAAATTGATTTCATAATGCATCATTAATCTTTCTCAATTTTTAATTTTAGCATTAATTTTAATTAATTAGTTCATTTTAATTACAGTGGGCTCAAGTAATTTTATTTTTGGAGCTATCATTGAAACCAAAAGAGCGTCTTATTGCAATGCTGAAGTATTCTCGTCCAATTGGTACGGATAAAACAAAGCGTTCATTTGTTGTTGCTCGAAAGACAACAGTTAGTTATGTTATTAGCAAAATTTATCAATAAACAAACATTGAATAAATTTGAAAATAATTCATTTCTTTATCAACTTGAAATCATAAATTTTATCTTAATGGACATTATCCTCTTAGATTCCGTCTTAAATTATCCTTTCAGATTCCATTTCGATATTATCTTGCGGAATCAATTCTAATTTTCTCTTTACATTCGATTTTAGTAGGAAAAATATTGTTTTATTTTATAGTTTTTCAATCAAAATTTCCAGAGTGAATCGATGTCACAAACTGAAAAGCAATTATTGGAACAACAGGAACGTGATTTACGTGAAGAAAAACGAGCATTATTGAAAAGACGTTTGAAGGTTGATTAATAATACGTCTTTGATTAAAAAAATGGAATTTTTGTTTTATCGTTTAAAAGGTTGACAAAATAAAACAAAAAAAAATTTGAAACGAACTTAGAAATTTAAGAAATACTCACGAATTTTCATACAGTTTGAATTTATGTTTCTTTTTATAAATATCATTCCTGTAAATGAGAAATTTTATTTAAATTTGTAGGATTTTGTACATACACCGGATGGTCGTAGACCGATGACATCATATTTGTCAACGCCATTAAGAAATATCACTGAGGCGAAAAATGATTGATAAGAAATGTTTATCATTATTCATTATCATATTTGTTTAAACTTCGTTTTATCCTAACCTCTTATAAATGTGTATTAAGTAAAGTTAAGATATTTAGATTTGAAAAAAAGCTCAAGTAATTAAATTTAAAATAATAAGTTTCAAAAGTTCCAGTTAAAAAAATGAAAAATATATCGATAGGAAGAATTTACTTACCAATTTTTTTTGCACTAAAATAATTAAATACTGAAAATTTCAAAACTATAACGAATACAACTAATGATTAGTATCGAGAATCTATCGCAGGCATGAAGATAAAGACAAAAACTCGCTAATGTCCAGTATTACGAATCCATCGGGAGATGATTTAAATTATTTGGTGAAGAATATTTCTTGATGATAGTCATCTTGCTTTAATCAATTAAATGAATTTCAAAATGATTATTGATTATTCTTGCCAGTTATCAGTGTGAAGCAGCTCTTACTAATTCTGTTTCGGATTTTATAATAAACACATTTCGTCATCCTTCCTTTTTTTTGTAATTTGGTGTTAAAATGATATATTTAATCAATGTAGATGAAACAAAATAACCCATAACGATTATCATTATCTTATCAATAAAGAAAATTGCAAGCTATTATAATAGAAAAAGTATTAATCATAAGGGAATCATAAAAATATTAGCAGAAATTAGATTTCAAAATGATGAGATCTAAATAATCAGATAAATCAGTAATTGATCAAAATCAAGCAAATCAATAATTGAACATATCAGAACAAAGTTATGAGAAATAACAGAAAACGATGATCTGAAATAAAGTTTGAATAAAATATTTTATTTAATTAACTTCAAATATAATGTATAGAATAGTTTCAAAAGCAATCGTTGCAATATAAACAAAAAGTTTAAAACAAAATAAGTTAAAATTTGAGATAATAATTTAATGAGTCTGTCGGTATATCACAAAAATATTACACAAAGTAAAAAGTAAAAGGGAAAAAGAGTGAAGCGAAAATTTATAGCAAAACTTTCTTTGATTTAAAGATGGAAATTTTAATTGTATTAAATCCAAAATGATGGAATTCACTAATTTACATTATTTCTAAAAACAAATATAATTTCAAATTATATTCAGAAGCATATTTTGGAAATTTTTTAATTATAAAAGCTGATTTGCTAACTAAACTTTAATTTCTTTTTTCGGTCTTATATAAATCTTTTGTTTTAATAAGTCAGATAAACTGATTTTTAGCATAGGCTTTAATGAGATTTATCAAATTAATCAATCAGCAGCTAGTCTATGATAAATTAATTCATCATAAAAATTAATTAATTTTAATACGGAGTAGGATTTTTTTTTTAGGAAAATTTCCAGCAATTGTAAATTAGGAATAACTGTCAACAAATTTAGTCAGGCCATTTTAGAGTATTTGTTTCATTTTCAAGAGAATAATTCATCTCATTAACTTACCATTTTACAGAAATTTCGCCGATATTTCATAATTAATCAATTTATTTTACACTGTGAAAATAACATTATGGTAATTTGTTGGTAATAAACTGTAAAATTTAGAATTAAAGAAAAAATAATTAGTATTTACCATTCATCGAATAATTTATTCCTCAAGTCTTTTGAATTATGCCGCCATTTGTTAAAGTTTGGAAATATTTTGAAATTTTAACACAAAATTTTTACCATACATAAGCTTATTTCAAATGTTTCCTAAGCAATTCCAAAACACTTCAAATGGTAGTGAAGTACTTATTTTTTCAATTTTACACTTTGCATTCAATTCATTTGCTCTTTTTATCTTATCTTACTGATAATTTAATTAATTAAAGGCATAAAAACATTGAATAATTTATTGCACGTTTATCTTACAAATGCAAATTGTTTTATCCAAAGGAATTTCAAATTTTAAAATTAATTTATAAATAACACTCATTTTTTTGAAATTCGTTTATTAATTAGAGGAAATAATAATGGAAAAATTGTCGCATTAAATGAAATAACACTGATTTCAAAATTTTTCGTTTCTTTCAAAGCAAATTCATCAAATGGAGAGATTTCATACCAAAGTATTATATTTCAATATGATAACCATTACAGATAATCATTATAGTAGTCAGCGAATAACTATTCGATAATGATAATAGTATTTTGTTTCTCATTAAATCGTTAACTCTCGAAGTTTATACTCTTATCATTTGTTACTTAAATAAGTATGTTAGTTTCATTTTTGTCTTTTTTCCATCAAAAAATTAAAACTGATACATCAAATACACCTTCAATTAATACTACCTGTTAATCAAATAATATTATTGAAGAGTTAAAGATCAAATAATATTATAAAATTTAATGTATTCGACATTTACGCCTTAATTATATCTTAAATAAACATAAAACATTAAGCAAACAAAAAAACTTTGTTAATTGTTGTTTATCAGTGAATTATCGATAATTTAATTAATAATAAATAATTTTAAAAGGCATAATTTGAAAAAGTTACACTTACAAAACCATTTTTTCTGTTTTTGCTGAAAAAAATTTTCCTTTTTTTGATTTGTATGGGAGAAGAATGTTGAAAATGGTTGTCACTAATAAATTATACTATTTGAAATAGTAATGGACAGTTTGAATTATGCATTTAAAAAGAAAAGAAAGCAAAGAAAAATATGCAAATGATATGATATAATAAATTTTGTTTAACACCGATATTTACAGTAATTAAATTATAAAAAAAGAAGAAAAATGATAAGAAGTGGTGATAAAAATTATCACACTGAAAAAGTTAAATAAAATGTAAAAATGCATTTGGATGTTAAAATGCTAAATTCGAGTGATTAATTCCATTTGTGAACAATGTGTTGATAAATCAATTAATCATTGCATATCATTATAAAAATGTTAAGACGAGCAGCATATGAACTTATCAAATGTTATCAGATAAAGAGTATCAGATAAAGAGTATCATTTCTTTTCCAATTATTCGATTCACATATTGATAAATAAAGTGATAAATGTTTAGCTATGAAGAGTATTTAAATCAATAATTCAATTTTTTAATTACTAAAATGCTTCTCTGCTATAATTCTAATCAGTTATATTATATTCCATATTTTTATCAAATCTGATTGAAATATTATCAGAAAGTTCGAAATAATGATAGAATTCAAATCAATCAAGTGTAATGTGTTACGATCGGAAGTGTTACTGGATTTAAAATTTGTGAATTTTGTTGCAATTCGGATAATCTTTTCCGAGATTGTAGTATTTCATACTTCAGTGATATTTTTGGCGACACATTTTGAACTGTATTTGATACTATAAGAGAAACTGGCATAGAGAAGATATTGCTAACTCGTTGTCGTGGAATATATTCCAACTTTTTCCTCTCCAATGCAACTTTATTGAATCCTTTGTCGGTGTAAATTGGCTTAAACCACCATGGAAAGAAATAATCGCGCAATATCCAAATGTTGAAAATAAACCACGAAATAAGACAAAACAAACCAAATATGTAATAAATGTTTTCGCGGAATTCAATAAGATTTAACAGACTGTATACCTGCAAAAAATTTCATTTAAACACTTTAAAAATTTGGAAAATTTTATTCAAATTTAAAAGAAAAATCTTTTTCTTAATTACGAGGCTTTGTTTTATACATTTTTATTGGTGTCACAATTTGAACATTAATTAAAAGTTAAAAAAGTTTTTCTATGATATTTAAAGAAGATGTTAAAGTGAAAATTTCGTTGTATATATTCCAGGCTGAATAACTGTCTAATTAATTTATGAAGAAAAAGAAATGGAATTGATTAAAATTACTAAATATAACTTATGTACATAAAAATAAAGTTTGTCCGAATGATATCCGTTGAATTTATTAATTTCAGTTTGTTTAATTCGTTGAAAACAGTAAATAAAAGTGTGAAATATGTGAATGATTAATATTGCCTTTGCAGGGTATATTTATGATTATAAAATTTATATTTTTCGGAAACTCAGTTTTTCAATTTATTAATTAGCAAATAATTAGATCTTATAAATATCTAAATTATATATCATAAGTCGATGAATATATAATTTAATCTAATTAGTCTATAAACTCATTTTAACAAATTGCATGTCCTTAAAATTGTAAAATTTGAGGTGAAAAATTTCTTTTATTTCATTAATTTTTCTTTCCGCTTGAATAATTTCTTTTTGAATTTGAAAAATTTATAACTGATAAAATGCAATAACTTATCAATTCTGATAAATGTTTCCAGATAATAATTCATCTCATCGATTGGAATGATTCTTCTTATGAAATTATTTAATAAAGAGAAATAGTTTGATTCCTCAAAATCTATTTAGATCAAAATAAAAAATCGATGAAATCTCAATCAATGATATACGAATAAACAATGGAAAAATCGATAATTTATGCATAATTAGTTGAATAAGTCCAAAAAAATTCTTACTTATATTGTTATCGAGATCACATCTATCTTTTTATATGATATCGATTACTGAGGGAGGTAATCTAGATCCTGTTCTCTTTATAATTATTAATAGTAAGGCTTTTTTTAGTATGCCTAAGACTTCACTTGCTGGGCTATTTATACAATTCTAGGCTATTTTAGCTTTTATTTAGTATTGTTCTTTAATGAGCGCTTTACTGTGCAAATATATTCATTTAATGTATTTATGTAAATTAATCTTCAATATTATTATGCTCTAAATCTGACCGAATATAAAATGAATTACAAATTTGCAATTTGAACGGATGAAAATTTAACTTGGAATTACGAAATGCTTAAATTATTTTTAAGATGCATATTGAAGCTATTTGGTTTAATGTATTAGCATTGAGCTACTAAAGGAGAAAATAAACTCTTTTTGTTCTAAAGTTTTCAAAATATAATCTTTTTGAAATAGAAAAATATGAAAGGAACGAAAGTAATACTTCAAAATTTGTTTAGAATCAACGGAACAATACAGTAATAATAATTATATTAATAATTAATATGAA